TCCTGTGCCCCTCCCGAGCCCACCCACCCACACTCGGGCAGCCACAGCCCTGGATGGCAGCCTCCCTCATTTGCTGGTGTATCACACTGATCGTGACCAGCCCATTCTGGATCATTAACTACTCTGCTCGATTTTCCTGAGCCATCTCTACAAACCCTTATTTTCTGATGTAAGCATAGTACAAACCCATTACAAATACTTCAAAAACATGAATAATCTAAAGAGGGCAAAAACCACCTACACCCAAACACTAAATATTAATGTACCTTTTCCTGTTGGGTTTTTTTTTTTCCAGTACTTGACTTTTCTCCAAAACTAAAACCACATTTCAAATAAGTGCAGTTTCTTGTTTTTTTCATTTAATATTTGTATTGTAAATATTTCCTGTACCAAAATTCTTCCAACCTAATTTTCCTGATTGCATAAAATTTTATTATATGAATGCAACTTCATATATTTAACCAATTGCCTATTGTTGAACACTTTAATTTTTCTAAATTTTACTATAACATTAAATGAAAAGTTTTTGCTTAATTTTGTAATAACTATTTCTTTAGAATAAATAAGCATGAGTGCGATTACTAGAGGAAAAGAGAAGAAAACTGCGGCCAAGGTACTTAAATTATATGTCACATTATGATTTCTTCACACTCTCATTTATCAACTGTTACTGAGAATACCATTGGTGATTGGATTCTTTTTCATTTACAAGAGGTGAAAATTGTCTTTTCTGTTTCTTTACCATGTATTTTTTTCTTTTGCAAATCACCTGTTTTACCTACTTTTCTCACAAGGTGGCCACCATTGTCTAACGAGTTTTAAAAATCATGTTAGAGCTTAAAGATATCAGGCGTGGTAACGCCCACTTGTAAGCCTAACACTGTGAAGGCAGACACACAAGGGTCACCACAAGATCTAGGCCAGCCTGGGCTGCATAGCGGGACCCGATCTCAAAAATAAAAACCCTACTCAATTAAAAATAGAGATTAAGGATATCAATCAACTTTGGGGTTGAAGGTGTTTCAAAAGTTTTTAATATTTATTTAGTGCCCATGTGTTCTGGGAATTCCCCCACATCCCTGGAACTCCCCCATCACAGAGCAACCCCTAAACAGCCCGTGAAGCAGCGTGTCCTGTGCTGTGGAACAAAAACTCAGCTTGGGGAGCTGTTGAAAGGTCATCTAAGCCGACCCACTCATTTCCCCGTGAGGAAACTGAAGGCTAGAGAAGTGGTTTCCCTGCTGGGGCCGACTGGAGCCCTGAAGTGGAAGCTGCTGAGTCAGCACACTTTCCACCTCCATGGGACCGCCTCAGATGCGCACACACCTCCATTTGAGAGCCCACACTTCACCTCTGCATGATTTTCAGCACAGGGCCATGCACCCAGCTAGCTAGCCCAAATTATTCATGCCATAGCAATCAGTTTTGCAGGACCTGGTTTTCATATATTAATGTTCTTCAAACAGCTGTCTCATGTCTCACTGACTTTGTTCCAGAGAGATCCTCTCTTTCGGGGCCACCGTTAAGTTGACCAGCACTCTCTGGAAATAGGATAAACCCCTAGCTTACAAATTGTTTAAGTGGTAAAAGTAGTCAAGGTATTCTGCCCCATATCTGTTACCCAGAGCATGGAATGGGATGAGATGATTTAGCAGTGGTTTCTGCAAGTAAGAGTGCTGATTTGCAAAGAGCCCAGGTGTGGAGCCAGAGTTCAATTCCAGGGAGAAGTCTCATCTTCCTCTCTGATTGGCAGTACAGCCTTGGGCAAGTCACAGAACTGAACTGCAAAGCACAGATAGTGATTTATTTTACAGTTCGCAGAATGTTCGAGACACTTGGAAGAATCTATCTCTCCCACCTCACTGAATGTCTCATCCTTAGTAGATAATAACAGCCCACACTACATTTGCTAGACATTGTTTTAAATGCTGTATGAAAATTATCTCAGTTCATTATAACAACACTACATGGTTGGCACCGCGCTTGTTTCATTTAACAGCTGCGGAAATGAAGGCACAGAGAAGTTGCACACCTATGGCAAGATGGGGCCAGAACTCAGCCTCTGCCCCTGCCTCCCCTCCTGCTCCATCCTTTCTTGGACCAGCCAGCCTGTCCTTGAACCTCAATGAAACTAAGCACGCACCCTTGGTAAATATTCAAAAGACCTCTATCGGGGCTGGGGAGATGGCTCAGTGGAATAAGTGCTTCCCTGGCAAGCACAAAGGACTGAGTTCAATCCCTGGTTCCACCAAAAAAAAAAAAAAAAAGACCTCTATCTTTGCAGAGGGAGACCCCAAAGGATGCAGTGACATGTATTTTACACCAAGAACAGATCAGTTTTAAACTTCCATTATCTGTATGGTAAAAATATTTTCAGGAACAATCCTTATTTTTTTGATTCAACCTTTAGCTTTAAAACAAACAAGTAACAATTTATATGAAAAATAAAGTTTAAATTTAAAAACATTCAAATCAGTAAAAATATTTCATGTATGAACTGAAGTTTGCATTTACTAATTAAAAATAATTATGCCTTGAAGCCTGCATTCTGCTTCACTGTTTAAATGCAAGACCCTTAGCAGTCACATAGAATAACAAGATTAGAGTGACTTGAGTTCTGTTCCGTGGTCTCTAGGGTCATTGTGGTGCCATTAGCCCTTTCTAGCCAAGTGGTGCACAACTCAGGATATGTAGGAGCCTAGGACTATAGAGGCTATCTGCCCTAAAGCTGGTGTGGAATCGCACCACCCCAGTACAAACTTGCCTCTCACTCTACCTCTGGCAGTACCTGGTGATAATACGAAGTAGACACAAACTAGTTTTACGATTGTTTAAAATTCTCTACAATTGATACACTTCTTTACTGTCAGGCACCACCCAAACTTTTATGCCCCTACCATTATCTACCAAAATCTTCAATGCATGTGTCTTTTAAGCAACAATTCCAATTCTTGGAGCATACTGTCCTAACATACAAGTAGTCAAGAGGCGCCATTATTTCAAAGGTCATAGCAGCAAAGAAAGGACTAGAAATAACTGAATGGACCATTAAAAGGCAGTGGTTTAAATTAATTATGCCCCATTTACACACAGAAACTAATATAGCACTAAGAAGAATTAGGCTCGAGATCCAGTCCTAGCCCAGGCCCGTTAAGGACTAAATTGTATACTCCAAATCAATATGTTGGAGCTCTAATCTCCCAGTGCAGAGGTGATTAAATTAAAAGAAGCCATTAGAATAAAACTGTATCAAGTAGGACTGGAGTTCCTGTGAGAAGCAGAAGAAACACCAGATGCAGATGTGGCTCAAGATGACAGATCCAGGGAGGACGCAGAGGAAGGTGGTCCCCAGCAAGCCAAGGAGAAGCCAGACCTGGCAACACTTGTTCTTAGACTTCCAGTGTCCAGAATTGT